AGTAAATGATCAGCATCCTCCACACGGCTGCGCGCAGAAGTTGCGTGGTGAATGGAAAGAGAGGTGCCCGATCTGTAGGCGCTTTTACAGGGAGGTTGTAAGAGTTTTTTGATTAGCAGCTAAGCAGCCGTGCACTGGCCCGCTGAAAATGATTGAGCCGTCCAGGAGCTCTCACGAGGAAGGCATAGATGGCTGGCTTTTTCTCGAAATCCTGAGTCTTCCGTCGGCTATTGGCAGTTGCCTACTTCTTTTAGTATTGGGTCTTACTTAGTCTTCTTCTCCTTGCCGGGGTAGTTGTATGTCACAGTAGCAATCTCGGACGCCTTCATTCATGCCTGCTTTGTGCGAGTGTGTGTGTCTGTGTGTCGAAACCCTAAACCCTAAATCCTAAACAGGTGTACCCTGAAGCCGTGCCCGCTGCTGCGGACTCTTGAGACAGTGTGTGTGAGCAGGTGTGAGGCTTCAGGTGATCCTTGGCTGCAAACCCTTCCCTGACCCGCTGGATGTACCTGGTACGAGCTTCGCTCCGACGGCCGGGCCCATGCAAAGGGATGGAATGGAGAGTCGTCGTTGAGTCGATGAATGTCTCGGTCCTTTCCCCTCCACGGTCTCGTCCTTTCGTGTGCTCCGTGTGACGAAGGATTGCGTTCTGAGGCTTAGGCCTGACTCCCCTCGTCTGACGTAACCCTAACCCGCCCTCTGGGCCGCGCCATGTACCCTCCTCCGCCACAGCACGACTTGCCTCCTGTCCAACATTTTCTGCCTTTCCGGCAGATCTGGGAGCTGGAAGTCTATGATCACCTAGCCTGCATGCCGGATGGCCTGGCTATGCATGTTGCTGAGTCGTTTTACTGGTGGCTTCGAGGAACCAAGCGAGCTTGGATGTGGTGGACAATGCGCATCCCGGCGTTGTCCCGATACCTGGATGGGTTGCTGGACATGCTGGAAGAATTCAGGCCGCGTGACCCGAGTATGTGGCCACCACAGGCAGACGAGAGCTTTGCCATGCTGTTCTTGATAGACTGCTGGGTCAGGGTGGAGCTGACTGCGGAAACCATGTGCTGGCCAGTCTGTGGAGTTCATCTGCCATGTTGGGAAGCAGTGTTGCGACAGGCAACGAGCCCAGAAATAGGCGGGTGAGACTGGTCTCTGGCGAAGGTGTTCGCAAACATGTGGGCTCATCACTGCTGGAGAACGAAGAAGCCTGCTCGTGCTGGGCAGTTTAGAATTTCGAATTTATGCTGGTCCAGCCTCTGGTGGTATATCGTCGGGCAGGGCCATATGAATTATCTGCATCTGCATGCATTGCGATTGACGCACACTCTGGGAATTCACTGAGTATTCAGGCGTGAGAGTTTGGGAATTTGTTTGCATGCAACCTCTGGTCGCTGGTGGGGCATTTATTATTGCTGGAGAATTTGGGAATTCAGGTGTGAGAGTTTGGGAATTTGTTTGCATGCAACCTCTGGTCGCTGGTGGGGCATTTCTTATTGCTGGAGAATTTGGGAATTGCTGGAGAGAATTTGGGAATTTGCGCGGATGCAGCCACTGGTCGCATCGTGGATATGAATGCGTGAATTTCGGCACTGCATGGGTGGCGATGGTGCTGCAACGAGTTGGGAGCACGACTGCTGCCACTGATGTCGTTTGCATGTACGTGAGCGTGAACAGTGTATATTTAGAGAGGGACAGACTTGGTGCTGCTTTTCAAACTTTTGTGGCATGGTGCCCATGCCCTGTACCACTATACGAGTGACATGTTGAGGAGAATGGGATAATGTTCCTACTGCGGGGGATGCCTGGGTCCTTTGACATAGAGAGTTATGCATTGCTTACTGATTGGGTGTTTTTCTCATTCGTTTGCTTTCCGGGCTACAGGATCCCCCTTAGCGTGACGGGACTATGTGCAACCTTGCCTGCCTGGTGCGAGTGTGAGAGTCGAAATCCTAAACACCTAAACCCAAAACCCTAAACCCCTAAATCCGAAACCTGTGCCGTGGCCTTGCCTCCCTGGAAAGTGCAGGAAATGCCGCCGCCTGGAGGGTCTCTCCCTGGCCTGCCTGCGTCTGCCCGTCGGGGCCATAGCAATGAGGAGAACATAATATTAGCAAAAAATAGTGGAATATGCTTACAATATGAATGCCACTTACTATGTAGTATCATCTACGTGTACTATGTGATATCTAATAATATAATAGAAGAAACTTATACTGTGTAATCTAATGCTGTAGTGCATTCAGTTTCAGCCGTCTCATCTCTTTCCGAGGCAGGGTCGCCTGGCGCTTCGGCCGGAACGCGGCGGGCTGTAGCATCCTGGATCGCCGGGGGGCCCTTTCGAGAGGGTGACGAGAGGGCGTGAGGGTGGGAAGTCGAAGTTGAGGCTGTTTGGGGAAGTTTCGCGATGAAGGCAGCCAGGAAGCACCGTTTGACGATCGGACAAGCCCTCTCGAATCGAATTTGGGACTGGGGAATGCCTTGGGTTGCCACAGGCTCAAGATCGGGTCCTTGAATTTTTGCTTAGGTTGTTTCAGCTCGGGATGCCATGGCATGCAGCTGACTTGAGACCCGAGACATGTTGCCCCGAGGTCGCCCGCCAAAATCTGGACGGCTCAGGCCCAAAACTTGAGAACCAAGACTCTGCTAGACCCCCCACTGGGCACCAGACCCAGACTGCAGGCTGGATGGTTTCTCACCTCAGACCACCCCAAAAAAATTGAATAAACATTTTGAACCCTCTACGGTTCCGTGCAGGAGCGCGGCGTGGCCCGTCTCGTGGCAAGTGGCCTCATCCCGACGGGTGCATGGTGCTCCCTGAGGTTCTCGGTGGGTCGAGGTCCAAAAGAGATACGAAGAGGCCCTTGCAGTAGCCCTCGTATAGTAGCACTTATCAGAAACAGTTGCTAGATGTCTCCTCAAGTTTCTTGCGACGTGACTGGCCGTGGTGAAAGAGTTCCGCCAGGGTCTCAGAGGGGTTTCTCCTGACCCTTGCGAGTTGAAAGGGTGATGTAAGGGCTCCTGGCAGAGTTCAAAAAGGGTGCCTAAGGTTGGGTTTACGGCTTCAGTAAGGCTGTGCCGAATCATGAGACACGAGAGGTACACCTCTCTGGTGGACCACAATGTCTCAGCTTGGAGGAAGGACCTGCGGCGTGGCTGGCTTGCGGTGGTGGAGTCTCGTTAACATGTTCCCGGTTTACTTCGTCCTTGATTTCGCAAGGATGTACGATTTACCCTGATGCTGTCAGCTCGGGCCAGACCTCAAAAGAAAAAGCGGCGAAGCCAAAGATGCAAAAAAAAACAAACCAAGACTCCATGCTTCAAGGGCCAAAGGCTCGTAAAATTGGGCTACCACCAAAAACTCTTAACCGAACCTCGGGTCCCCGGGTTCCGCTCAGAGCCTCGAAGTCCTTTCTCCTTTAGAGCCCAGGGCTTCGGACGATGCTGGATTGGAGCTTGCAGACGGTGACCTGGAATCGGATGCTCCTCACTGGTGAGAGGCTCAGAGCTGAGATCTTAAAGTGGTGCAGGGGAATGGCCTGCCGGAGTGGTGGGGCCGCATCCCTGGAGGATTTCTCAACAATCTTATACCAGGTTTCTGAACAATCGGCCGGTGGGGTTACTTGGCTTTCGGTGCGGGTTCACTGCACGATCGGACCCAGACGAGGTTGGCCCCTCCCTGCGATACTTCATCGTCTGCAGGAGGCTGGTTCGTCTATGTTTCAGCTTAACCCCTATTTAACCCCTATACGATTCAAACTAGATCCTGCGCGACCTGGCAATGGCCTGCTTGGTTTGTTTGTAGTGACACTCTCCTGAAACATGGGGTTTTCACGCAGTCCGACATAGCTGGGATCCGTGACTGCATTGAGTGTGCGAATCGAAACCCTGCACCATCCCAAGCACTGTGTCCTGACCTGCGCGTTTCTGGGTCCAAACACACACACCACACCGCATTCGCGCCCCTTCTAAGCCTGCCAGGCACGTCCGCGGCCGGCAAAAAAGAACCAGAGCACTTCTGCCATAGACCCCAAGCTTGAATCCGGTTTATGGCGACCCTGACTCCGGCATGAATCCTTGCCCCCTGCCTTGTCAAGCCTCGCCGAGAGGTAAGCCTTCTTAAACCCTAAACCCTAAACCCTAAACCCGAAGCCCTAAACCCTAAACCCTAATCCCTGATCCCTAAACCCTAAACCATCTAAACCCTTCAAAGCACGAGCTTTCCAGGCCTACCTCAAAGAGGCCGTCTGCAGCGCGGCGGTGGAGGGCGGCTACGCGCTGCGCAGCCGCGCCGAGGGTTCCCCGGGAGTCCCAAAGCGGCAGGAATTTGGGTACAGTTTATCTGTTTGTCTATTTATCTTGCTATCAATCAATCAGTCTATCTATCTACTTGCCCACCTACCTACCCACCCACCCACCCACCTGCCTACCTACCTAGCTATCTATCTTTCTATCTGTCACTCTATCTATCTGTCTATCTATCTATCTATCTATTTATCCATCTATTTATCCGTCTACCTATGTGCGTACAGATAGCTAGATCGATAGATACAAGATAGATAGAGAGATAGAGAGATAGAGAGATAGAGAGATAGATAGATAGATAGATAGATGGATACGTAGATACATAGAGAGAGTATATGTACTCTACATAAATAATTGTGAGTGTGAGGGTGCTAATTTATAAGGGACACTCCAGGGCTCTACAACGCTTTTTGGGGTGTAAGGTTAGAGCAGCCAGCAAGCTCAGGGTCGGAGTTTTGGTGCGAGGCTGTGGGAGGTCCCGAAAATAAGGGGTGCCTAATTTTGGGGTCCTTATAATAGGGATCCTACTATATAGGGTACTACATTAGGGTCCCCTATTTTTCCGAAACCCTCATGTTGAGCCAGTTGTAATTTCTCGTCGTACACACAACTAAATTTCGGGACACCTGTTGGCTTATGCCGTCGTGAAATGTTGTGGTCGTGCGGGAGGATGTTTCTTGCGGCCAGGCATCCCAGCAAATAATGCTTACCAGGATGCTGGTCGAACCCAACTGTTTGTTGCATGCGCCTGAGGTATGGCTATGCGTTGGCCGCATGGAGGATTTGGCAGCCGAAAGGCCGCGGAGGGGATCTGAAAGGGACGTCGGGAAGACTCAGAATCGGTTCATGCATGCCATTGAGATTCCCTGTTTGCTGCGAGCAGCTCTGGTCCCGGCGCTCCGAAGTCCGAAGGTGGCGGATGCACGGCGAGTTCTCGGACTGCACAGCCATTGCAAGGCTTCTGCGTGGCGGGTCTCCCGACGGCTGCCTTTTTGCCGATATCGGCGCCTCGACCTTGCATTTGGGTTGTCCTGCGCCCGAGACAATCATCGTGCAATGAATTACGGCGATGCGACGATTTCGGTTAGCGGTTAGCACTACTGCTGCCCCTATGCCTACGACCACCACGAACAAAAAACCGACGACAACGACGACGACGAGGATGCCCAAGAGGACACCGGCTCGTTAAACTGCTCCTCCTGGCTCTACTCCCACTTCTCCTCATCCCGGCCTGGTATACCTGAGACCAAACGAAAGAGGAACGAGCATAGCAAGATTGGCGGTTTTTGTTCGGACGGCCACTGCAACTTAATCGTCTGGAGCAGACTGCAGAATCCAAAGGAGCAGTTGGAACATGTCACAATGTTGGAACCAAAGAAATGTCACAATGTTGGAACAACAACGCCACTGCAGAGCGTGATAAGAGCACAGTCCAAGGAGGTTGTCGGATCCGTGAATTTCAAGTCTCCTTTCATGTGATTCTAGTGCTACTGCGCAGATAGCCTTGAAGGCGCGAACCTGGGATCCTGCTCACTGCAGATGGCACGAGAGGTGGGATGCTCCCTCTTTCAAGTGCCATGCAGTGAAAGCCCGGTAGATCACTTCTATGTACGTGCAACAATGAAACGGTTCACACGACTTCGGCTCAAGACTTAGGACCTAGGTGAGCTGTAAACGCTCCTTCGCCTGAAATCATCCCTTTTGCCAGCTATGGTGATGCTCATCGACTGTGACCAGCTGGTTTCGATGTCCGGGTGTGTCACGCCACCTCCACCTGTCATGAACTTCAACATGGCGTCGGTCGAATCTGGCGAGGAGGGGGCCGAGGTGGCAACACCCAAGTTCGTGGCACAGATGGATGGAATCGCAGCTGATGCTTTGAACAGCAAGCTGCAGCAACTCCAGGATCAGGACAAGATGGATGAAGCTCGCGTTCTCCCTGACCTTTCCGGCCAGGAGATGACTGCTAGCAACGGCTTTGCGAAGCTCCCGCTTCCCGCACTTCCTCTTCTGGCGGCACCGTTGCCTCCGCCTCCGCCACATGCTGTGCAGCGACCGCCAAAGGATCACCGTCCCCGCGAGCCTGAGAAGCCCAGAGTCGTGATTTCGAGAGGGTCCGTGGGGCATCCGGTGAGTTGCGCGGCAGCCTGCAGGTATGTGAAGCGCAAGGGAGGGTGCCGCGACGGTGCCGACTGCCTTCAATGCCATGAGTGCTTCTGGTCGAAGGCAAAGGACGGAGAGGGGAGCCAGGGGAGCAAAAAGGCGGCGAAGGAGGTGGTGCGAAGCCGTAAGACCCCCGAGTCAGAGGCTGAGGATCTCACGGCCAAGTTTGTGCGGCTCCTCTCCACGGAGGAGCCCAAGTTGCAACCTCCTCCTCTCATGGACATGATGGGCTTCCCACCTGGCTTGGAGGCGCAGCTGAACCCAGGCTCCATGGGCCACCCGTTCACGTGTGGACCAGCCTGCAAGTATGTGCTCAAGACCAGAGGGTGCAAGGATGGAGACATGTGCAGCCACTGCCACCTCTGCCGCTGGAGCCGGTACTCCAAGGCCCTGAAGCTCTGAGACTGAGAAGCTCTGGAAACCGAAGAGGCAGACAGGGCTCTTCGGGCATTAGATGTGATCGACAAGATCTCTGCGGGCAGGGGTTAACTTTTTTCATAGACTGTGAGGGAAAGGCGGAGCCTTTCTGCTATATGCTGAACTTTTAGATTGCTCGATACGTCGAAACGCTGGCTCTTTTTGCCACGAAGCCGCTGAACGTTTGTATGGAAAGCGATTGTCCCAGCTTATCCTTCAAAAGATAAGGTGATCGTTGTGAAAGGTTGCACGTTCAAGAAAATCCTTGAGCAGCACGATGGCTCGTGGTGCCCTATGAGACGTGGGGAATGGGCCCTTGATGCGGGTCATGTGCGCCCTCTTGACCGGCTGGCCGTACACCTGGAGGGTGTCAGAGGCCACCGAGGTTTCAACTCCACCCCAAGATGCCAAAGCACAGAACTCCTTGTGCTGAATGTGCAGCAACTAGTAACTAGTCATTAGTAGCTACTTCACTACTTAATCATTGACGTCTGCCTTGTCCTTCGGAGCAAGCAGCACATTAGCAAAAATCCTGGTGCTCCATATCTAACAGCGCGCGGAACGCCAGGTGCTCATAGCTGCAATCAGGAGCGCCATTCCATCAGAGCAAGGTATAGCACTCCGTGGAGGCTGGGACTGTGGGTACTGTGCACTGGCTGTCACTGCCCTCGAGACTTTTCGAGTAGAAGCTTGGAGAGCAAATGCTTCGAGTCTTTGTGTGGCTCGTGCTTACACAACGCACAGAACAGTTTCGTGGCATAGCCTTAGAAGCGAAGGCTCATGGGAATAGCGACAGCAGCGGCTCAGTGTTCCCCACTCGGCCCCGAAGAGCCCTACCGGCCTTCGGTGATGACATTTTTGTGTGCACAGGGACAGGGGTCAACCTGGCAACCTACGACTAAGTGACAGGTACTGTACGAAGTATACGCTACATTTCATAAAAGTAGTATATGTTGTAGAGTTTTTGTTTGGCAGTCAGTTGATATGTTTTGATGTTCTATTAGATATTATTAGTTACATGTTTTTTTATTTTTGATTTACATGTTATTTATTGCATATGTTGCACACTATATTATGCCTTATATGTTCAATATTATGTTTTCTATAGTGTCTGTCACATATACACACACACACACACACTCTCTCTCTCTATGTATAGTACAAGCGATATTGTATTATATACTGTATATCTATGATTATAGTATGTATTATACGTTGTATATATGGCATTATATATATATGTACATATGTATGTATGTATTTTATATTGTATATGGTATATGTCAATGTATATGTTGCAGCTGGTCTGTTAAATTTTATGCCCTGTATGTTATATTCTATATATTACATGGTTAGATGTTGTATTTACATATATATATATAGAGCACATTATGTACTAGAAATTATGTACTGTATATAATGTATGTATGTTATATATTACATAGTGTTTATTACTTATCATTTTGATATGAGCTTTTAGGGAGATAATAAACTACATATCATCCTATACCATATATTATACATTGTATTATTTGTTTTTTTCGTATACATGTATATATATATACATACGTTTTTATATTGCATTATTGCAATATATAACTTATCATGTTTGTGCTGTTTTGTACTATATACCATGAATTCCATATCATGTTTTATGTCACGTATTGTATAGTAAAAAGTGCGTATAAAAGAGGCTGTCTATGTATGGTATGCTTTATATTATACTTTGTTTGCAACATACATCATGGATTATGTTTGATTTGTTATACAACGTTTTTGATGTGTCATATTATGTGTGTTTCTTACTATATTATATATATATACATTATAGAAAATACAACATATATATGTATATATGTGCATATTGCATAACATATGGTGTTTTTTGTTATTTGTCATAAGTTATATGTCGTATACTTCATCTGTGCGACGATGTTTATCTGCGCCTAGCATATTTAGTTTAATGTTTGTTTCTTATTTGTTACATATTGCATTTTCTATGTATTATATAGTATAGTAAAGGACATATATTGTAAATTACTCATTAGATGATGCAGTACATATTGTTTATTTTATGCTACATCTTACTTCTTATTTTTCTGTATAGTACTTTTGTATATATGTGTACATAATGCTATGTTACAGTGCAGTAAAGCATTTTCCATTATACTAGGCTGTTTGGTATCGTATTGTTGTGTGTTGCCTTGAATTATATAATAGTGCTTTATAGAATGTTAATATAATAAACGTAGTTTGAATTTTATATATTGGATACTAGATGTTCGATATTCTTGTATTATGTATATTAGATATACCTGCCAGAACCTGCTCTTGCCGTCCTAGCGACGTGAGGGCAGATATGGAGTGATCAGGTAAGCAGGCGCACAGGAGGTTTCCTGCCAAGACATGTTCTTGCCGTCCTACCGATGTCAGGGCAGCTAGAGTGATCAGGGAAGCAGATGCGCAGGAGGCCCCTGTGCACCTTTGGTGCGGTGTGGCAGCTGGTGTCAGGCTTTACCTGAAGCCGCTGACCTGGCACCAAACTTGGAAGTTTGAATTCGCAAGAGATCTGACTGCCAGCTGCGGGCTCTTACTTTGGGTAATATAGGGTTTGGGGTTTAGGATTTAGGGTTTAGGGTCAAAAGCACGTAGAGTTGCAGGTTTGCTGTTTCTACAGAAGCTGAGTTTGCAGCGGCAGTCTGTGGAGGGGTCTCCCCTGTAAAGCTGACCTTCGTCGCACTGCGCGAGGAAAAGCTAGCTGACTTCCGAGTCCGTGTTGTTCCTTCTTTTCTGTTTTACCAAAAGTATAGTTCGGATCCTACAAGACGGTAACCCTAAAGAGGAGCTACAATGGAGACTCTTTGGTATGGTAACTCTTCCCTAGACTGAACGCTAAACATGAACTTCATGTGGCAAGTCCAAGTGCCTTTCCTCCTGGCTGCGAGTGCGAGCGAAGCCCAAAGAGACCTGAAAGATTTGTCCAGCTGTTTTTTTGCAGAGGCCCTCCCTAAACCCTAGACCCTAAACCCTAAACCTCTAAGCAGTAAAGCTCCAAGCCACTCCTCCAGGGCTTTGCGGTGCTGGCCCTGGAGCCTTCGCCGGCGACGGCGGCGCTGCTCAGGGCTTCAGCGCCTCGGCTGCCTCGATTGACGGGTGGGACAAAAAACGCGGCAGGGGGCAAAACAAATACCATGGTCCATTGTGATGCCAGGTGGGTGCCCGACAAGTGCCTCTAGCATACGGCTGGGGCTGTGTCCAGTCATACTCTCGTGTGTGCAGTCAGGAGCCATGTGGGCCATTTGTGGCGGCTATGGTTTTGTAGTCTCCGAGCACACTGCCCTAACGCAGCTTTCCAACAGATGGGCCGGAGGGGGATGCTTGAGATGTCAGGTCCTGCGCAATGGCCTCGAGTCCCGTATTGAGGTGGTCCAGGCAGGGGTCGTCTCAGATAAGGAGCCTACAGCAAGCAGCAACACTACCATTTCTACCGTGTCGACGGCAGCCATAGTGAGCGATTCTGGTTTAGGGATTGTATTATAGTGTACTACATCAGTCATTTTATATTATGTTATATACATATATACATATCTATACATATCTATATATATATATATTATATAGATTATGTTGTATAAACTCTATTGTATTCGAAATCGTGGTTGCATTTCGGCCATGACACTTCTCCCCCATCACAGGCGGCGGCCGGTCGTGCCGGCGTGGGCCGACTTCGGTGTTCGACCTAAAGGGTGGGGGGTTTTAGTTGCCCTAACCCTAAACCCTAAACCCATTGAGCTTTTTCGTTTACGGTTTTGTATTTCAATTAGACAGGGTGTTTTTTAATTTGGGTGAGGGCTCCACCAACGGACCCTTTCATTTGGGGTTCTTGTGCTCTTATTTGGGGTCCTTTCTGTTGTTTTTTTTTTGCCGGGGGCCGTTAGAAGGATGCAATGTGCTGGGGGTTCTTGCACGCTGTTTGTATGGAAATCCCATCTCAAGGCCGCAGTTTTCAGACCCTCGCTGCAACTCCCAGATCGAGCCCTCATATTATGTACCTCGTCGGCAAGACTGGTTGAGGTGCCCGGAGAAGCACTCTGCGGCTTGCACGGTGCAGGCTCGACTCTTTGGTGTCTGGGACTGGGATGGAGGGCACAAGTCTGTGTGCTACTCGTAGTCTTTGCTGGCGCTGTGGAAGTCTGGCATGCAGTGTGAACGCCCCGAAGAGGGAGTGGCTTGCGTTTTGTTGGGGCTGAAATCAACGTTTCGCTCGAGGCCGCTGACAAGGTGGATGACGGTCAGCTGGTCAGCACCGTCACCCGGTCAGATTTTGGCATCGCGAAGCCAGGAGTTATCCGACAGAATACAGACCTCTTGCTTGACTTGCATGGACTACCAAAAACGTCCGCGGGATCGGGAGATCATCCTCCACGCAAGCGGACCGCTCTTTCAAAGGACACAGGGAGCCGCACGTGAAGCCCGTTCAAGCAGTTCAGGCAGCAAAGGTTGTTAATCAGGGTTTGGCCTTTGTTAGTTTTCGAGATGAGACGCGGCAAGCACATGAAATCTTCTAGAAATGGATGCTTATAAGCATAAAACAAGCCCACAGAACCCCAAGAGGGAAGCCCTCGAGGTTTTTTTGGGGGACCTTGTGGACTTCCAGGGGTGCGTCTCCGTCTTGTCCCTAAGCGAATATACCATAGTCTCCGCCGAAACCATAAGCCCTAAACCCTAAACCCTGAAGTCTAATAATCAGACCCCTACATTAGATGAGGTGGCTTTGGATGCCCTCCTCCAGAAGCGGCCGCGGCTCTGTGTGCTGAAGATTGATGTCGAGGGCTCGGAGGACCGGGCCCTGGTCCTCACAACACGGATCATATGGGTCTAGATTTAAATAACATTAAGGTATACTAGGATTCTTAGTACTTGATAAAGAAGACTAGTGCCGCCTCCACTACTGCTCCTGTCACTACCACTGCCACTGTCGCGAC